GACCTCTGGGGCAAAATCCACCCATCTCCTTTTAATTTGTGGCTATAGGATAAGCCTTCTATTTCCTGGGCTCTCATAAGCCACTAAAACAATTCTAATGAGATCCTACAGGCATAGCAATCTAAACTTACTTTGATTTAGAACCGTAACAAAAAAAATGCTTATCCAGGTGCCTTTGACATTGTATGACAAAAAAAACTAGTGGCCTCCCCAATATCTCATAGACATACCATAGCAAAGTCTTGACAGGATTGCAAGGTTAGAAGGTACCTTACAAATCTCAACAAATTTTAAGCGGGTGTGGTTTGGGACAGGACTGTACTTGAGAATACTTAATGCATTTTAAAGGTATTTGCAGTATTGCTGTTGGTGTATGGCATTTCTTAACACACAAGGGAGAGCAAAGTTATTATTTATATAGCACAAAAAGCACAAAAAAAGCTGAAGAGTTTACAGTCATAGGGATAAATTCTAGCACCCTCACTCCTTGAGTTGTGCCTTAATTTGTGGGGACACTTATTGATTCCTCAACTAGAGTAAAGGTGGCAGAATCTGACCCTATGTAATCTAGAGATCACAGGTTAGTCCTGGGCATTATCACTGAAGACTGGCTAACATTGCAGCTACAACCACTGGTGCCATGGACCTCAATGGCAGTAAAGATCCAATGTTTGATTAGTGAATTACACCTTGTCCTCCACCTTACCTCCAGGAAAAACAGTACCAGTTCCGGGCTCAGTCAGTGCTTGCCACTCAATACAAAATTACAAATAAAACTTGACAAACTTCTTTCCTTTGTTGATTCAGATACATTAAAATGAAGGAAAAAAAAGCAATTAGCCATGTATAGTTGCAAACCTCCCAAAACAGAATCTTGTGAGCTGAGTGGGGTTAGAAAGAGGTGGTTTTAGAACATGGATAATTGTAATGGAGTTTACTGTGGCTGGCAGCTATCTTGGAATAGCTTTTTATCAGGGTTATTATACCAGAACGCCACATAATGAGGGTGACATATGATTGGTCAACTAGGATTGTGAACTGTTCAGGTAAATGGTATAATTGCAGGTGTCAGGCCAGTTTTGCCACATTACTAACATGTATAAAAGTCACTGAAGTGTAGCAGTACCTGGATCCTGGAACTTTGCAGCCACTTGGCCTTCAGCCTTGTGTTTTGCAGTGCACACCTGCTTACTTTGCCATGTGTTACTGCTTGCAGAATTGGAAGGCTGGCTCAATTAAGCATGGATTTTGTATCAGGGTTTTGTGTGTGTGTGCGCACACATACACAAATCAGGTTCAAGTACAGTTCTCGGGATCAGAAGCTGCAGGTATTGTTTTCCTATTCAATCAAAACTCAGATCATATAATGATTAACTTCCTGACACTAGACTGACCATACTTAATTCAATTAAGCTGACATTGTAACAGCAACCCTGAAAAATATTTTAATATCATATTATTGGAAGGGATATAGGTAATGCAACAGAAAGGATCTGAAAGCTAAATATAAATAAGTAGGTGAAAGGTTTCAGTTCAAGGTCCCTGGCAGATTTTTCAAAGTGATACCGAGATTCATCTGCAGGACCGGGAGAACTAAGAAGTCTCAGTGCAAGGCGATGTGGTTCAATTTCATTAGGAGCTGGAAAATCTTTTACAGAAATAATAACCAAAACATTGGGGCAGAAGTGGCTCCACCAGATTGTTGACAGTTAAAATGAATGGTCTTGAGGGGTAAGTGGTTTTGGTGGAAAGCCCACTGATTGCATGCAAGAGAAAAGAGGGCTAGGATGTGCTGCATCCATCTCAGGTCTAGTCTTCACTGCTAAAAGTGCGGTATTTGTACCTAAGGATAGCACATATCCTTGAGGTAAAAACAGAGTGTAGATGACGTACTTTTAGTTTTACCACAAGGTAAGAGAGGACAGCTCTATACCTCTGTCTCAGGGTGGTTTTGCCTACTTTACCTCATAGTAAAATTAAAGTGCCTAATCATCACTGTTTTTAACTCAGAATAGCTCATGCATGCTAATTACACTGAGGTAAGAACACACCTTTTTTAGCAGCACAGGTAAGACCTAAGGGCTGATCTACACATAGGTGTTGTAGTGATTTATCTGTTTCAGGCCATGTCTACACTAAAGGGACTCTAATGGTGTAAATCTGTGTTGGCATAGCCTTGTAGTGTGGGTGCAACTGGCAAGGGTTTTTTCATAGCTGTGGGAACACCAGCGCTCTGTGCTATGTGAGCTAGGTTGGAGGAAACTTCCTTTTCATACCTGATGAAGCCATATCAGCAACTTTTAAGTATAGACCAAGCCTAAGCTATATGAGCACCTTTATATCATTATATCCGATCCACACTTTCAGGGTTGGCCTGCTTCAGTTACACAGTTAAAAGTGGCCCAACTTTGTGTGTAAACATGTCCTTAGAGTTTCTGAAGGAAATAAGGTGTGGAATAGCGGAGGGAAGATATGAATATGCAGTATACCTTTAAAAGCAATCACTGGGCAGAAAAACTGGAAAATAATTAACCTTCCTATACATTTTATGAGCCAGTGCAGATCCTGTTGATTAAACTTAGAAACCTCACTATACTGGAAACTGATAGAGTCTCATTGAATAGAATAATAGAATAATATGTTCTGATAAGGAAGAGCATGCCGATTCTGTTGAGTGGCACTCCACAATCACATAAGGCAGATGCAGAAGCTTCTTTATGGCTATGAAATTTTCTGATGAGTTGATTTCCTATTGGTGACAGAAGCTGAATAACCATAACCTAATAGGGTCTCTTCTGTAGGAGAGAATCATATTATCTAACTTTCTCAGAGTGAGCTCTTTCAGGAGATAAATAGAGCTGGATCCAGTGGACTTTATTTACGTGGGTTTACAAAAGAGCTTTTAAAAACTTAAGAAAAGCAAAATAACCAAGATATAATAAAGTCTTTATTTAAAGAATGGTTAAACAACAGGATACTCAGACCTCAGAGTTTTTAGTATTGTAATTATTTGAATGGTGAATCAGTGAAGTTTTATGATGACATTAAATGAATTTGGTTAATAAAATCTGTAGAATATTGTAAGAAATTTTAGATGGACACGAGAAAACAAAAGACCATGAAGGTAGGTAAAGTGAACCAACAACACCAACAGGAAAGTACACCTGCAAAAATAATCTAAACCTTTCACGTACACCCACATATTCTAAACTTGCAGAAAGTTATTGTGGATGGCGTGGTGAAGAGTCTGATCAAGAAAGTTAAGAAATAAGATAGGAAGAAATACAGACTGTATGCTCAGACCTTTATTTGAATTCACCATTGGTCACTTCATCTTAAAATAAATATATAAGCGATTACAAGAAAATGGCAGTAAATGGTGATATTAGAGGGGATTTGATTGAAAACATAATGGTGATTAGTATTTGTGATTTTGCTTTTACATTCTCACAAGAATAAAGAGATACTTGATAATCAAATGTTGGAATGTATTGCTGCAGTTTTTAAAAAAAGACAAAATCATTTAATCTCTAACAATAAATTTAGCTTGCTAAGCTAAAGTAGTATGAGTAATAAAATCTTCTGTTCTGCTGCATACATTTGATCCCTAACGGGGTGCTAGAAAGGAGATTTACAACTTAATTTATAATTGGCCCAGTGGATAATATTGTTTGTTTGTTTTTCTATGATGTCTCAGGATTGTCCGCTGCCAGAGGTGAGATGGCAGATTAAATTTTGGAGCAATGGCATGATCAGCTATGTCAAATACTAAGTTCTTGTTGGACAAAGCTTATTTGGCTTGTACAACTGCAATTTTTTCCTGCTTGCTATTAAATAGGTTTTTATTTATAGTACGTTAATATATGACATAGGGAGTTTTTTATGAGGGGCAGGTGAAAACTGGGTAGAAGGCTACTCCTTTGTTTATTCAGCATTATAACTATCATAAAAAGCACTTGATGGTACTTCAGATGGGTAAAAATTGCCACTTATATTTACTTTTAGTCAGAAGAAAAAGCAAAAAACCAGATTCGTGCATTGTGTGAGCAGAAGCAGTAGCAGCCAAGTGCTTCTAGAATGTAATCGCTTGGGAATAAACTTCAGAACAATTTCAACACAACTATAAGAAGCAGTTTGTTAATACACCTTAAAACACTGTCTGCTTCCTATAGTTAGAAATCCTGCCCACTGTTCTAGGGGCAGGATTTGATCAGTCCCAATTTACTACTTGCTTAATAAGAACTTCAGACTGGACAACTTCAAGTGTCAAACTAACTCTGGTAGATAGTGGTCCTTGCTTTAAGGCAATAGAGTGGATTGGCTGGATAGTTGTTTGTAAGAAGCAAGGCTGACTTCATCAAACATCTTGTAAAAAGAGCACTTTTCCCAAAACATTATATGCATTTCAGCATTGTTCTGTGGAAGATGCTGTAAATGAATATTAATTCAATTGCATAAGATATGACTGAAGATCCATTCAGTTTCTTTTTTGTCAGACATATGATTAATAAATGATACATGCATATGCTATGGGAAAGCACTAGTAAAACTAGTTTGATATGCCACTGGATTTTGTGATAAAAGATACGGTGTAGGCTTGTTGGGGATGTAGTAACAGCTGTGTACTTAAGTTTTTACAAAGTAGGCTCAAATTTAGAGTCTTTAGTATATATCTATCAGTGGAATATTCAGAATAATTTGCTGCAATATAATCGGACAGTGTCAGAGACTGGAAATCATCACCAACCATTTAATCAGCACTATGATAGATTCTCATATTACAGTATGCTTTGCCAGGTAAACATAAAGGGATGTGTCAAAGTACATGACCTTCCTGTTCAGACACTGATAGCTGATAACTAAATTTATCTTCTAATCTTTCAAATTAAATTGATGATCCAAACTTACAACTATGTAAAAATAGAATGAAAAAGATCAACTTTTAAAACTGGAAAAAGAATACATTCTCATGAGTGGTTTTAACCAATTCTTTCAAGATGTCCCTGTTATATCAGTTGAATGTATCAGTAATAGTGTTTCCTCCCTTGCTGAAGTCTTCCTCATCTTGCATACACACAGTACAAATGTTAATTGGAAGGGACTATAGGAAAATAAAGACTTTACTTCTACCCACAAAATATTGTCTTATAGAGCCCTACCTGTCAGTGTAGTATCCTTCAGTAAATATCAAATAGTCTGTGTCAAGATAGATGTATATATTTTTGCAGAGTGCATATGGAACTAGCTGTGGAAGAAATCCTTTGCATTTAAAAAAAAATATCCTAATAGGAAAAGATTAGGAGAAAAATCTTCTCTGGCAATTTAAACTTTATATTTCTGAGATTGGAGAAGGAGAATAATGCTGATATTTTGCAAAAATAAGTCAGACACAAATAACAGCAGCATTGTTATGCTATGTCTACACAGCAGCATTATTTCAGAATAACTGACATTATTCCAAAACACAAAGAACACGTCTGCATAGCAGCCCATTATTTTGAAATAATAGTGACCTGAAGGACTTCTTACTCCAGCTCCTGTAACCTTCATTTTGAGGAGTAGGGGAAGTTGAAGGAGGAGTGTTCTTCCTTTGACTTCCTGCTGTGTAGACAGCGCCAAAAGCCGAAATAAGCAATTTTGACTTCCACTATGCACTTGACATAACTGAAGTTGCGTAGCTTAATTCGGTTTTTGCCCTGCTGTATAGACATGCCCCAAGTGAATTTCTGCAAACAGCATTTTAAACCAAGGAACAGATGTCAAACAAAGCTAATACTGCTGCTTTCTGGAAGTCTGACTGCCACTTCACATTGTGTAAAAGAGATGATAGCATTTCAATGCAGAAGTTCATCTCAGAGGTGTGGGAGTTAAACAGCCTACCTCTTCGGTTCTGCCTGGTATGTGGCTGGCATTGGTTTTGTGTTCAAAGAACTTTAAATTGTACATGGCACATCTTTCCTGGTACCTCTCCCTGCCAAAGGAAGTCCATAGTTAGTAACAGATCTTCATGTTTCCTCAAACTACAGATAGGAAGAGGAACTTTTAAAGTGTGACAGCTGTGCCACCTAGTGGTAAAGATTCTCTACAAGACTTTGTAGTCAGATAATGGGATTACTTTTATTGCACTAAAATAAGTTTTCCGAGCCAAATGGTGAAGGTTTTTTGTCAATGTAATTCTACAGAACTTGCCCAGCATCTATTGGCAATATTTTATGTATTTTAATATATAAATGAAATACAGTTTAAATAAGTATCGTATTGCAATTGTTCCTCAAGCACTGATACAAATGGATGACCACTCAGATCAGAAGATTTGACATTTTGATCCCTAATATAAAAAAACCCTTAAGCGGAACTAATTCATAGTTATATTGATAGTGATCTTCTTTATAGTACTTTTATATCAAGTATGACTGATACTTGTATCTCAACCTATTAACTAACTAATCCTAAGCAGGTAAAAGAATGCATTCTTGAATATAGATTACATAGAGCTCAGAAAATGATTTTTACAGTTTGAATAGGACAGCAGGGGAACCCACACTTACTCACTTTCTTTCAGTGATACACTTAAGACTCAGATTCTCACTCAGGATGAGGACCTAGCTTTTCTATTTTTTAAGTTGATGTATTTAAAGTGGCATGAAGTCAAGTTCTGAATTCTTTTGCTGGAAGAATCAGGCCAAACCTCACATTACTATATGGCAGAAAAATCTTTCAAAAAGGAATTGTGAAATGTTTCATGAGTCTTGGATTGTTTCACACACAACTCTTCTGGTAAATATGATTTTAGAGGTTTGCTTGTGTTTTCTTTTGCTTCATTTAAACCCTCATCTACCTACTTGTCTGAAACCACATCCAGCTGGGCCAAAACCTGACATTCACTTCAGAAGTCAATACAAAGAAGAGACTTCAAAATATCGGTTATCGGTACTAGATATTTAAGGGGGTGGGGCCGGTGCCATGGGGAGCTGACTTTAAAAGCAGGCTCCCCATAAACACCGTATCCGCCTACCTATCCCTCCTGCATTGCTGGCTGCCCCCCCCTTGCTACTTGCTACAGAGGCAGGGAGGTAGTTCAAAAGCTGGTTCATCCCAGCACCAGCTCAGCAGTGCTGTCTGCCTCCCTACTCGCACTCAGGGGAGGGCAGGGGAGGCTGCTGCAAAGCAGCCTCTGTTGGCAGTGTGTCCAAGCTCCCTGCGGACAGTGACTGTTCTGCATCCCACAAAGTAGCCTCTGTCTGCAGCGAGCTGGTTTTCAAATTGGCCCCCCTTGCGGCGCAACTCCCACCTGCCACCCCCACTGCTGCCTCTAATAGGCAGTAGAGCAGAGTGGCAGGGAGCTCCCCAAGAGTGGGAGTGGATTGCACTGGCCGAGGACTATCGAATAGTCATGTAACCAAATTTCATGCAATTACATGACTATTCAATGACACACTAACATCCCTACTATACTTAACTGATAGTGTCTGCAAAGCAGGCAGGCACTTCCACGGGAAAGGCTTTCCAGTGGTTTTCCTATTCCTGGGACACATTTCAAGTCTTGATAGTTATGGTTTGAAACTGTTCAGCTTCAGACTATTCAAACTGTACATGTGCAAGCCAGTACTCATTAAAGTCACAGGAAAGATAACTTCATTGACCTCACTGGGCGTTGGACTGGACTTTTTGCACAGCAGTGATTACAAGAATGGATCATTAATGAACAAGCCAGAACTGTGCTATTGTTTTTCCCTCTCTTTAAAGAAAGGAGCTTGAATGGTCAAATGTTACCGTGGATACACGAGACCCCAATCAAATGTTAATTCACTACAAAATTTCTGAGTGGTTACCTAGAAACACTATTTAAACTAACCTCTGTATCCCGGCAATTTCACTGAACATCTTGAACATTTTAGGGTTATTACTTTTGCACCTTTCCAACCAAACCCAGATGCACACCTATGTGGGAAGATCTAAATAGGTCTGCTCAGTGCTGGGATCATCTGACAAATCTGGCAATTGGAGGCAGCAGTTAGCATTTCTTGAAACAAGCTTCAGCAAGCGGAATGTTGAGGGTATTAAACAATTGCTTTGAAGCTCTAATAATGGAAGCTGTCAGTACAGATAGTTCTAAACTAGGGAAGAGGCAACTCTGGGCTTGTTTCTGGAGACCAGTTTGCCTGATAGTTGGCAATGTGGGTTTCGTGTGGTTTTAAACATACAATTACGAGAGCCTTGCTAGAGGAAATATGCAATGATTAGATAGATCTCCTCAGTTGACCTATGGCCTCCCCCAGTACTCCTGGCTAGCAAAAGACATTTGGTTAAAGAAGAATTTGAGCCTGAATCTTGAATTTGGGTCCAGTAATAAAGAGAAGGACAAAACAACCCGGGATTTGAAAATTATAAACTTGACACAAGGATACTTCAGAGGTATAAGTAGTAATGAGGAGGGGGAAAGAGAGCTGTTCTTCCCCTCAGAGTAAGGAAAAAAGGTCAATGTACAGCAGAGCTCCTTCCTTGATCTTTGACCTTTCCAAAAGTAAACCTGCTACTGACATGAGAAGCTTGGCTTTGCTAATCTTCCCCTTGTTGTAACATGCAATTGCTAAGCCGGCTCTCTATTTTGAAATGTCATTTATTGTTTCCAGGATTGAACTCTAAATATGGGTCTCTCTTTTCCCCATGGCAGGTACGTGTCTTTGTAAACCAGCTGTACAGGCCAGCCCTAGTGAAGGAGATCAGTCAAAACCCTGATCTGCAGGCCATCCGCATTGCTTCAGTGAACCCCATCTTGGACCCATGGGTCTACATCCTCCTCCGTAAGACAGTGCTCAGCAAAGTCATAGAGAAAATCAAGTGCCTCTTTTGCCGCATTGGCGGAGCTCGAAGGCAACACTCTGGGAGCAATTTCAACTGTGCAGATGGTTGCCGAACCTCCTCTGCTATGTCTAGCCACTCACCCTCCTTCATCTCCCGGGAGCTGAGAGAGATCAGTAGCACCTCACAGACACTGCTCTACCCTCCAGAGCTAAGTGAAAGCAGCACTGGGGGTCGCATGCTGCTGCCAGGAGCCAGTGGTGGTCTGGCTCAAAGTGATACTACATCAGTGCGGACACTACGCAGCTCAGAGACCTCAGACTCTTTCCAAGGACAGGACTCGGAGAGTGTCTGTCTAGTGAATGAAGTCAGGTCTGGTGGCGATACCAGCTCTACACCCAAAGGCAGCTCCCTCCAGGTCACCTTTCCTAGTGAAACATTGAACTTATCAGAAAAATGTATATAGCAATGGAAGGAATCACACACAGGTGATCCTTGCCCAATACTTTGGAAAAACTGGTGCAATAGACATGCGCTCTGCCTGCTAAAGGTAACAGGGGCTCATGTACACTCTGAAGGGCTATTTTTCTCTTGCCATGGGATGGGTACAGTTCTTCCGACTACTGAGGATCATACCATGGAGCAGCTGCTACAATCAGGTCCTATTACCACAAAACATAGAAGACAGGTTTAATGGGTTTGGAAGCATACACTGTTATTGCCTTGTCTTGCTCTGTGACCTAGGATTGCTGCTAGGACTCTGTGGCTGGAAAGAGCTGTCATTTTTTTGTCCAAATATGCTAGAAACATATATTCTTCCCCCTCACCCTAAACTATCAAAGGTTTAAGTCTCTGGGTACTAGAGAGCTGATGGCGAGGTAGTTAGTGGGAAGATATGTACAATTTTAATAAGTCTCACTAATGTGTGAAAATGTGAATTTTTATTGCTGTAAATATCATGATTGAAAATATTTAAAAATCTATTCTTCTCTATGAGAAGGTTTATTATTAATACAAGGAATATACAAACAATTGCCAGCCTTCTTTTCCTCCCAGTATGGCTGGCTGTTGATAGACATTCTTGAATTAGGTTTGATTTTCATACAAATTTAAAGGTAGAGCGAGAACTATTTCTCTAGAAGGGAACAAATGAAAACTTGTTTAATTAAATGGGAACATTTTGTGTTAAGGGAGAAAAGAAAACACATTAAGTTTAAAATATTATTTCCAGTGTGTGTACATTCTAAAAAAGCCAGATTTATATTCTGTGAATGCTTATCTACAGAACATAATTTCTCCTTTCCAAGTACAAAGGACCCTACCATTATACTCTTACACACATACTTAATGTCACTCACATGACTTGTCCAACTGATCTCAATTGGACTCTTCACAGGAATAAAATTAAGCATTTGCATAAATTGCTTTTGGGACTGGGGCCAAAAACTTTCAATTCCTGGTTAACATTTTTAATATTCACTCTAGTTTTAGAATCACCAATTTACTAAAGTTATTTTTCATAACATTTATCATTTTACTTTAGTAAAAATAATCTTATGATTGTCTGATCTGCTATTCCATCAAATAATAATATGAATATCTTCATTATAAAGTATGGGTATATGGTTCTATTTCCTGTTCTTAGCCCCAAGGAAAATTATTTACTACTAAGATGTAGCAACAAACCCATTACCAAAAATAACTGTTGACCAGTGTTAAAAAGAAGTTTTGTGTTTGTTTGTTTGTTTGTTTTAAAAGATAGCTCTTGTTCCAGCAGTGTTGTTGTATCAGACATAAATTCTGTACAGATCTTTGGGGAAAAAATTGTCAAAGAACTATGAAGCATGTTATGTTGCTTAAAGTGTTTTCATGTGAATTGCTTTATTGTAATTAAAATTCTGAGCCTGATGTTAATATGTTTAAGAAACAGTTGTACTGACCAGAATTATTTTGGAGAATGCAATTAAATGGAAACATTCCGCTTGAGTTCAGAAATTTATGGATGTCTTTAATTGTGTGTGTAATTCACTCAATGCCAGCCCATTGGCTTTCATCTTAATAAAACAGAACTTTCAAAACATTGTTTAACAGCTTGTCCAATGTACTCCATTCCTTCCATTTGTAAAGTACTGCAAAGGAAGTTAGCTACACAACTATCACCATCAACAAGGAGTCATCCCACACAATCCCTGCAGTGCTGGGTGCACTGGAATGTAGCTAGATGAATTATTCAAAAACATACTACAGTCTTCACTCAAAATTATTACATAAAATTTTTTGGCTGTGCTTTGACCCTTTAACTTTGAAGCAATGAATTGAGTTTTACGTGCATGAATAAAGGTAGAAAGTGAAAGGTAAGCCTGCACACACAAGCACTTGCATCAGAAGTGATATGTATATTCTTTCTCTCTCTCTCTCTCTGTATTATATATATATATATATAGAGAGAGAGAGAGAGAGAGAGTTTTTCCTGACGAGCAACAGATGTCATCATGTTTTCATGCTCGCTGGCTGCGAAAGTCAAAGCAGCCAGAGAGAGGGGGTTGGCAAACGTAGCGAGCATAGGACGCAGCCCACCAGTAGTCTATAAGTATCTGCACAGGGAACAAATCTATGTATATATTTTAGAGATTTGTGTGCCTGTTGTGTGTCTGTCTGTGAGTCCATTTGTTAAAGAACTCCTAAATGGTAAGAGCTAGGGCCACAAAATTAGGTATGCAGCAGGTAGGACCACCATACCATGCAGCTTCCTCTTCTCCTAATTTAAAGCAAGGTCAGGGTTTGGTTGTGCCAGAAAAATTATATGTGCCTGGAATTTGATTGTTTTCCATAACATAAAAAGGGAGGGGCAAAGACAGGAGGAACACTATTCTCACAGGATCACCACTAGGAACAGCAAGCGCAGGGGAGAGCTATCATGCAGAGTGACTACTGGGGGTAGTGATACTTACTACCAGCAGAGTGGCCAGCTGGGGATGGAGCTCGCCATCTTGCCTACCACTGACCCAGGTTAAGTGGTCTCCCTGCCCTAAACCCCTCCCTCCAGCCCTTGCCCTAGCACCGGACTGGAGGGAGGGGAGAGTCCACCATGGCCCCTCTCAGGAGCACCACAGGGGCTGTGCAGCGCAGCCCCCGCCACCCTCCACAGGACCCACTGGCACCTCCCCTTCCTGCACTGCTGGGCTGCCCAGTGTAGCTGTGGCTGGCGAGCCTGCATGACCCCTTCCCCTTTCTCCTCACTCAGTTGGCCCTTCTTCCCAGCCAGGGCCCAGAGAGTGCCAGCAAAGGAGGCCTGTGTTGACCCCCTCCTTCTTCCCTCTGGCTTGCTCAGAGAGCACCGGTAGGGGAGGCCTGCATGAACTGCCCTGTTCCACTACAGCTCCTAGGTCAGACACAGGTAGTGGTGGCGGGGGGAAGGGGAGGCAGGGCTGGGGAGCAGCAGGAAGCAGCAAAGACTGACACCACTTCCTGTCATTCTCATTGGCTGTCAACAGCGATCTGCAGCCAACAAGAGCTGCAATCCCCTGATACCTGCAGAGGCACAGGTAAATATAGAAGTTGGGGCCCACCAGAGAATAACCATGCAGACAGGATTCGGCCCGCAGGCTGTAATTTGCCCAACTTGATCTAAATGATCTATTAAAGTTGTGAATCTGCATGACACTACCTCAGTCATATAACCTCCTGCATTCCTTCCCACACCTACCAATATAACCTGAGACTGAACTGAGCCTCAGCTAACTACTAGTTCTCTCATGTGGGCCCCAACCTCTGCCCATCATGTTGGAGAAAACGGCTAGGTGATGCTGAAATCTCCTGTATTCCCCTCCATACTTTTCTAGCACTAACTGTCTCATACTATCACACCACTGTTTGTGTGACAACCATCTCTGCTGCCTATGTCATCTGAACAGTTCACCTTCATCCACACTTTCTCTCTTTTCAAATTTAATTGGAAAGCACCTCTTTTCTCCTGATCAGATCTAATCTTGCTTGTTTTAATGAGAGGGGGAAGGTGGGTTAAGTTATTGATCACAGTTGTCTCCAAGAGCTGCAAATGCTTGCCTACATCTTAATTTGTCTCTCCAATTTCTAACTGGGTCACAAAGTTACGTTAAGCCATTTAGTATACAGGATGTTTTCATGGAAAATATACAAAGAAGGATTACTTACATTTTGTAACGGTTGTTCTTTGAGATGTGCTGTCCATTCCAATATATCATCAGAAGATTTTTTTCCCTAGCAGTAGTCATCAGGTCACCTGTGGAGACTCTTGTGATGATGCCTCTTAACCTTGTACGTACCCTGATGACCTGACTCCCATTTCAGTTCCTTCTTGCCAGAACAGTTCAACAGAAGGGAGGCAGGAGGGTCTGGAATGGACATAAGCAACACCTTGCAAAGAACAAGTTACAAAAAGTAACCATTCTTTCTTCTTTGAGTGATAGCTCATGTGCTTTCCAATATGTGACTTACCAGCAGTTTGACCAGAGGATTGGATGGACCTCAACTTGTTGCCAAGTGCAGTACAGCTCTGCAAAACGCCGCATCATCCCATGACTGCTGGCTGACGGCATAATGAGTCATGAAGGTGTGCACAGATGACCACAAGGCTGTCCTGCAGATGTCCTGAATCAGAATTTGTACCAGAAAGGCCACCGAAAGGCTTGCACCCTGGTGCAATGCACTGTGATAGGCAGAGCAGGCACCTTTGGGCATGTCTAAACTACATCCCTCTTTTGAAAGAGGGATGTAAATTAGGCAGATTGAAAGTGTAAATGAAGTGGGGATTTAAATATCCCGCACTTCATTTGCTTAATCGTGTCACAACGTCTTTCAAAAAAGGTATTTCGAAAATGAAACTGCTGTCTAGACGCGGTTCTTTCAGAAAAAAAACCCTAGTACAGGATCTTTCAAAAAAGAGGTTTTTTTCCCCAAAAGAACCGTGACTAAATGACTGTTTCACTTTTGAAATACCCTTTTTCGAAAGAACGCTGTGACGCAATTATGCAAATGAAGCACAGATATTTAAATCCGCTTCATTTGCATTTTTAATCTGCCTAATTTACACCCCTCTTTCAAAAGAAGGATATAGTTTAGACACAGCCTTAGCCAAGTCATAGCACAGCTTGATACATGCAGTGATCCAGAACGACAAGCACTGCGATGTAACTGGAGGCCCTTTATACATTCCACAAGAGAGACGAAAAGTTGTGTCGACCAACAGAACACTTTAGTGTGCTCAATATAAAAGGCAAGGGCGTGCCTCCCATCCTTGGAATGCAGCACCCTGTTCCTGTCCATGGCATATGGTTTTGAGAAGAAAACAGGAAAAAAAATGTCCTGATTGATGTGAAAAGGCGACACCATTGTTGGCAGAAAGGTGGGATGAGGGTGTAGCTGCATCTTATTCTTATACAAAACTGTATATGGAGGCTTGGAGCTAAGGCTTTGCAGCTTCAACACTCTAGATTTGGGTAGAAGCTGGATATTTTTTTAAGTGCTGGCTAAAATTTTTCAATACTAATTTTTAAGGTAATGATTATATTTCAGAGTAATATACAATACATTTTCAATACTTTCTGAAACAAAATAAACAATAGGCTGCTCAAGTACATAGCATACTAAAAATATAAGGGCACATCTGCCTTCTGGGCATACCTTCTTCCAATGACCCTGCTCCCACAATAATCAGCCACCAGTGACTGGCAGGAAAGTCCCCACTTTATTTACAATATGGAGAAGTCCAAGACCTAAGCATGCAAAATACAACACAATGTACAACATTACAATAAGGTTCGTTCCATCAGATGTCAAATTTGGGAATAAAACACAGTCTCAAAAATTGCGCTAGGTGCTCCTTCATGCAAGAAGACATTATTGCTCACTTCACCATCTTCAACATTTATAATGTTAATTATTAACAAGTTTGAGCTGTAAGACTTATATCAACTTGCTCTTTTCCAGTTGTTTTTTAAATAACTGACAATTAATTACAGGAGAAACAGCAGATGTTGTTTCATCTGTGCAATTAAGAAATGGAGTTGAATGAAAGCAGTTTTGATAACGTAGTCAAGGTTTTCAAATGATAGTGCAATCTTACAATATGAGTTTTAATATCAACACCTAGTTGATAGTATGGTTGCAGCAGGCATTCAGGTCTGTGTATCTGTTCTTTCTGTTCTTTTCACAATTTCTTTTAAAAATCTTTTCTCTGAAAAAGCTATTTCAGAAATAATGACCCCTTCTATTTTACCCTGTTACACTGCTGCTAAAAAAATTCATCCCACACTTAATAAACGTTACATTTCAAAAGAATACTAGCAAAAGATTATGCTGTACTACCGGGCTCTAATAAAAGCAGTTTCATCGGGGGTTGTAGAACATTCCTCCTTCTCAGTTACGGTCTCTACTGTGCCAGAAGCAGACACAATCACCACTGTTTTAGTTGCTGAAACAGTCTTCTCCTTCTCCGCGATAGCTGCACAAACTGCCACAATCTCATCGCTTTCAAAGTCATAGTCTGGGATTGATTCATGAGCAACATCTGCTTCTTTTGCCTCAGCCTCTGCTGTCTTAGTTTTTGTTGCTTTATTTTGTTGTTCATGCAGCTTTCTTGCCCAGGAAAGGTCCTCCTTCCATAGTTCAGGGCTCACTGGATAGATGTGCAAGGCCACCTGAAAGCTGCGAATTGCCTAAAAATCAACAAAGTAGTTTGTGGGTTTTTTTTTTAACTGACACATTAAAATCAAAGAGATGAAAACAATCTTCTAGGTTGTTTAATCCACTTAGGTCTAAATGATTGTTTCAGTATGTTTCTATTGCTCTATTCAACCCAGTTTTAAATTATAGCACACTTCCCATTTTCTCTTATAATGCTTATTCATGGTTAATTGGATCTGATTTTTGGAAAATTGAATGTGCATACCTAATTTATGTGAAATAGAACAAATCAGAACAATAACAAATAGACCATGAACAAATTAGGCGCTTCTCAAGAAAACGGTATGTAACTTGTAGTTGTCACATACAAATACCCATTTCATGCATGCAACTATGCTAATTACCAATGCAAATAAGGATTCTAATTGCACACCCAACTGTGTGAAAATCAAGCCCTATGAAAATTCTATTATTTCATATGAGAGTTTGGTAGAGGACTGACTATAATATTCTTTCACATATTTCAAGGTAACAACATTTATACAAATTAGTCAATCCAACAAAATCAAATATAAAACTTTCTTAGTTGGTAATGCCACACTATACTAATTTTCTTTCTCTCCGAAAACACAAACCATTCTGCACAGAAACATAATTGGCAAGCAATTCATAGAATTTCACTGCTATACAAAAAAATGATGGAACACCTTTCAAGCACAATGCAGATGAAGGATCACATGCTGCTAATCCAAAATTATAAAAGTGTTATTTCCCTATAATTATGCATCGTGAACGTACTCGTAAGAGCATTTAACACTAATATGAAAATGACAAAGTTATGTTATCAATTAAAAGAAAAAAATCAAGTCAGAATCATTTTATTTTGTTATTTCCCATTCCTCTGACCTCCTCCTCCCTTCCAATAATCATACAGGAGGGCAAGAGAAAATAGTTGCAGTTTAATTCAAAAGACAAATCTGGATTACTGAGTGGATTTATAATCACGGTTCACGTTGTCCATTTAAATTAACATGTATCTCAAATAGATCTATTATGCACCATCTTGGCCACAAAATAAACAGCTTTCTGGATCATGTAAACCTGATCTAATCAGGGAACTGTGGAAAAAGACAAACTCTCCCATTTTGCAGAGCTGTTCAAAGAAGTGGATAACTTCTGTGAATGATTTAGCTTTCCTACCAAGCAGGAATACTATCTATTCTGAGTGTTCACCCTTCCCTTTGCTAATCCAAATTATTGCTGTCTCCTGCAAATCCAAGTACTGTACTAGGCACTCAAAGATTATCCACGAGAAAATGAAGGCAACAGGAAAAGAGCCAATGTCAGCTCAATTAAAGGCTTTTACACTTAGTTATAAAGGGACAAATTACTGAAATAGCGGGGAAATAGTGGAAAAATGTGGAGCACAAAGTACAACTGATTAGATTTTAAATACAAATGAATTTAAGATTTACTATATGCATTCCTATTATGATCTTACAAATTCACAGTAAAACTAAATTCATTATAAAATCAGTACCTCTTTACACAAAACTGACAAAACCTTCAAGCCAAAGTATTTTGACTCCTAAGAGCAACCACAGACAAAGACTTCTGACCAAAGTACAGTAAAACTCCATTAGTCCGGCATCCAATGCTCCGGGACTCCTGATAGTCCAGCACTGTCAGGAACCCGGAAGTGCTGGGGCAGCCGGACAGGCTTCCCCCATTCAGCTGCTGCTGAAACTGACCAGCAGCTGAATCGGGGAACCGGGAGCAGAGCAGCTGGGGTGCTGCCGGGTTGGTCTCGTAGC